GTGGACAAGCAAAAGTCCCAGAATAGCCAACACGATACTGAAGAAGAACAAAGTTGGAAGACAAACACTATTGGACTTCAAGACATATAAAAAGCTACAGTGATCAGGACAGTGTGGTATTGATGAAAGGATGTAGAAATGAATCAATGGAACATTATAAAGAAACTAGAATTAGACTCAAATAATATGGTCAACTGATCTTTGACAAAGGAACAAAGGCAATACAATAAAGCGAAGATAGTCTTTTCAACAAATGTTGCTACAACAACTGCATATCTACATGTAAAAAAAAAAAAAAAAAAGAATCCAGACAAAACTTATACCCTTCACAAAATTAACTCAAAACTCACTGACCTAAATGAATCACAGACAATAAAAAAAAAAACAAAACCCACAAAACTATAAAACTTCTAAGAGATAGCATAGGAGAAAATCTAGGTGATGATGAAAAACAATAAGCTGGACTTCATTAACATTTAAAATTTCTGCTCTGCAAAAGACACTTGTTGAGAACAAAAAGACAAGCCACAGACTGGGAGAAAATATTTGCCAAATAAATATTAGATAAAAAATGGTTCTCCAAAATATGCGAAGAATTCTCAAAACGGAACAATGAAAACACAAATGACCCAACTAAAAAGCGGGACGAAGACTCTGACATCTCACCAAATATGATACACATGGCAAGTACTCATATATGAACAATGCTTAACATCATGTGTCATCAAATAAATATAAATTAAATCAACACTGAGATACCACTGTACACCTATTAGAATGGCCAGATCCAGAACACTGACACACCAAATGCTGGTAAGGATGTGAAGCAACAGATACTCTCATTCATTCTTCGTGGGAATGCAAAATGGTATCGCTACTTTGGCAGAAAGTTTGGCTGTTTCTTACAAAACTAAGCATACTTTTCCTCATACAATTCAGCAATTTTTTCCTTGATATTTACCCAAAGGAATTGAAAATTTTAGTCCACATAAAAGCCTGCACAGAGGAACAGAAAACCAAACACAGCATGTTCATTATAAGTGGGAGCTGAATAATGAGAAAACATGGACACAGGGAGGGGAACCATATGGGGACCTGCAGGGAGATGGGGAGTAGGGAGGGAGAGCCTTAGGAAAAATAGCTAATGCTTGCTGAGCTTAGTACCTAAGTGAAGGTTTGATAGGTACAGCAAACCACCGTGGAACAAGTTTACCTTGGTAACAAATCTGCACATCCTACACATGTGCCCCAGAACTTAAAAACTGAAACAAAACAAAACCTGCACAGAGATGTTTACTACAGGTTAATCATAATTGCAAGAACTTAGAAGGAATCAAAATATCTTTAAATAGGTATGTTACCGGAGTAGTGATGAAAGTTCAGTTGTGATATTGTGCTGGCCTAGAGCCAGAACCAGAGCAAAACTATTTTATAAAATACAAAACTGTTTTTAGATAAGTTGAAATGGCTGCCCCATTCTCCTCACAATAACTACTGTCCTTGGCCTCTGTAAATAGATCTGTTAGTTTGTTCTTCAAAACTATGTAAAGCTGCTTACCTTTTCTTATCAGTAACTGCTCTCTGTGGCCCTAATGTGACAGGCAAGCAGTCCTAACCCATGCCATCTTGGCTCCTGCGACTTGTAATGAGTAACTAAGGTCTGTGATTTCCACCTTAACCAGATAATGTATAAACAAATGTTTATCTTGACTTCTGTAAACCACTTAAGTAACAAACGGAATGACAAAAGTCCCCTAGCCCTTGGAATGTCCGGAGACCCCCACCCTCATCTCTGCCCAGGAGGTAATTTACAGAATCCACTAGCCCTCGGAATGTCTGAAGCCTTTTCATCCCCATCCCCGCCCCTCACCCCCACTCCCAAGGTGGTTTTTCGGGTATAAAAAATCGTGGCACCCTCTTTTTGCCGCCACAGGTTGGAGAGACGTGAGTCCTCTGTGGTCGCCGGCATAATAAATGACCCTGCAAATCTGGCATACTTTTGTCTTGTGATAACTTTCTACACTCGGTCAAATACAACACAGTTGGATTGCTTGCTTCCCACACCAGGGGTTGAACAATGGCCACCTGGATGAAAACCAGAAGTCCTACCCGCTAGTCCACCACGGAAGCAATAGCTAGGCTGCTAGGCTGCTAGGTTCTTGGCCTTCCTAACATCAAGAATGGGGAAAGAAGCGCTAAAGGTCGGGGGAACTTGCTGTTAAAATTAAATTTGTGGACCCAAAGAGTAGTGGAAGTGGAGTTTATTAGGCAGAGTGAAAAAACAGCTCCCACGCTTTTGTGGGAGGGGATGAGGAAAGGAATCCATTCAGGCAGGAGTGACTGGAGTTTTAACTCTTGAGTTATTCCCTCCCCTTTTATGTTCTCATCTAATGAGAGGAGTTCTTTCAAACCTCCTCTGGATTGATCGGTGTTTGATACTGTTACTGGATTGCCTACTTGTTTTATAACGCTGAGTCACAGAGCCCCCTCCACCGAAGAGGCTACCTGGGCTGTGGGCTGGAAACAAAGAGCTCTACCTGGCCCGCAGGCGGGAAACTGAACAAAGAGCCCTAGCCATCTGAAGCTGGAAAACCGGAGAGCCCAGGAAGTTCCTCTAAAACAGTCCCACAGGTGAATAGATAAACATACCATGGTACATCCAGAAGAAAAAAAAACTCAGTGCTAAAGAGAAACAAGGTGTTGAGCCATAAAAACAGATGGAGAAAACTTAAATGCATATTACCAAGTGAAAGAAGCCAATCTGAAAAGAATGTTGTATGGTTCCAACTATATGATGTTGTGGAAAAGACAAAAGCATGGAGACAGTAAAAAGATAAGTGGCTGCCAGAGGTTGGGCAGGGATTAGGGGAAAGGAAGGCATGAATATGAATAGGCAGAGCATAGAGTATGTTAAGGCAGTGAAATTACTCTGCATAATACTGTAATGGTGGATACACATCATTGTAAATTTATTAACCCCACAGAATGAATGTACAACACCAAGTGTGAACCCTAATGTAAACTATCAACTGTGGGTTATAATGATGTGTCACTGTAGGTTCATCAGTTGTAAGCAATGCACCACTCTGGTGAGAGATGTTAACAGTGTGGGAGGCTATGTATGTGTGGGGCAGGGAGCATATGGGAAATTTCTGTACCTTTCTCTTAATTTTGCTGCAAACCTAAAACTAGTCTTAAGAAGAGTCTACTTTAAAAAAATTAAAGGCATGCCAAAGGCAGGTTGTGAAATTGTGGTATACATTACAAAGTTATGCTTTAAACATTTATAACACATTTTCAAATTCACAAGACAAAGGATTTATTTTAAAAGTCATAATACTGGGGCTCTAGTAACAGGACATAAAGTTGAATGAACAGTGCCTTTTTTTTTTTCAATCATATCACTGTATTTCTAACTACATATAACTTTGTTTGTAGATTATAGTCCAAATGAGAATATTCCTCAGCGTGAAGCCTGTATTAGTTTCTTTTTGCTGTTATAACAAATAACCACAGACTTACCAGCTTAAAACAACTCAAGTAGATTATCTTATAGTTCTAGATGTTAGAAATCTGAAAATGGGATGGCAGGGCTATATTCTCCTGTAAGCTCTAAGAGAAAAGCTTGCTTCTTTGCCCTTTCCAGCTTCTCAAGGTTGCCTACATTTCCATCGCTGTCTGCTCTCTGATGGCTGCTTCCATCCTCATGCCTCCTTCTCTGACTCTGAACTCTTTTATATGGATGCCAGAGATTGTATAGGGCCCACCTGGATAATCCAGGGTGCTCTCCTCCAACTCGAGATCTTTAACTTAGTCATATCTGCAATGTCTCTTTAGCAGTGTAAGATAACATATTCATAGGTTCTGGAGATAAGAACATGGGCATCTTTGGAGAACCATTATTTTGTCTATCGTGGAAGCTCAAAACAAAAACCCCTCCAAGAACTTCCCACTCTGCATGCTCTGCTTCATAATTCAGTTGGGATTTATCTTTTCTAAACTCTTCAAGTGATACTTCAGAATGGTTATTACCAATGGTTACCAGAGGATTTCACGTTTCAGGGTATGTACTTTCACATGCCTGACGCAGAGAAGATATTATCATGATATGGCTGCTATAACTCAGTATTAAGTAACGAGAAGGCTACATCTGTTACCCAAAGTACACATAACATGGAACTAATTATTTATATTTATATAAAAAGGAGACAGAGAAAAATGTTGCTTCATACTTAATATATAAATGAATACTATAGTCTGCCCTTTTTCACTGCAAGTTGATCTGCTAGACATATATACAGTATGTTAGATCTAAGGATCTAAGGATTCATGTAAGATCTAAATTGATATACTTACTCTAAGAACAAAACTAAATAAGATTCTAGTTAAAATTTGCCAATGTTTAATTATATAAAATTATTCTATAGCAATTAGTGTAACAAGAGCTGTATTACTATACTTTGCTTAAGATTAAGTAAAGAAAGAAAAGCTTTATAACAACTCCACCTTTAGATTAAACAGTTTTAAAGATCAACACTAATAGAAATACTAATATGAAGTACCTTCCTGCTCTCAGACTCATTCATTTGTCTACCCAGTTAGTCAACATATATTTATTAAATGTCTGATACAGGTGTGGTAGTGATGCTATGAAGTCAAGTATTGTGCCAAACTTGTTTAATACAGTTGCTGCCTGGGCATCCATTTTTAGGCCTGATATAAGCTGTTTGAAACCCAGTTGTATGCCATCACCTGAGGCCTACTTAAAACTTCCCCTCCCTGTGATATAGAACACTTGTTCCTCATTCCATGACAAAAAGCCCCAACACATCCCACAGCTGCTAACCATGATAAAACCCAGTGGTCGACACCAGAGTCAAGTTCCCCCTTTGCTGGTGTTTTCTTTAAACTAGTCAATCCACAACCCCCTCTGGAAAGCCTAAGGGATAAAGGTTTTGGGCCTTAACTTAGCCCCACCAGTCCTCTCTCTTCCTTCGCACCTGCTGGTTGGGTGTCCCGTTATCTCCAGACTTCCCATCAGGCTTATTCTCTGGCGAATCTGTAAGTAATAAAATATGCCTGTTATTTCACAAGTTTTGTGTGTTACCTCCTTTAGCATCTCATCTGCACACCAGAACCTAGGTTTCCTCTTTGGGTCTGGGCTTTCCTGAAGAATGGCTATTCTGGCTTAAGTCACTCTCAAAGAGAGAGACCTCAAGATCAAATTAGAAAGAACAGCAATAAAAATGACAAGGAAGTATATTATGGCACCCACTTTTCAGCTAAGAGTTAACACAGGACCTAAATGCTAATTATAATAAAAGTAACAAAAGTGAAAGAATGCCTTCAATAAGACTAAACAAAAAGAAAAAGCAGAAAACATCATTTTGTATGCTCTCAACTGAGAAAATGGGTAAAAATAAAAATTGTAATAAATCCTATAACTGGATATTTCCAGTGTTTAAAAGGTTATTTTTTATGAATCATAAACCACTGCATTAAGACTATGAATTACTGATGATTATACACTTTAATGTTTATTAATCTATTTAATCAGCAATTCACTCAAATATTAAGTTTCTGTTACATCCCATGAGCTGGGCACACACAACCCAAGCCAAAAAAAAAAAAAAAAGAAGAGTTACTACTTTCATGAAGTTTACATTTCAGGGACCTAATGCAATAGTGCTCTCCTTCTCCAAATTCTTCACTATATTTTAATGGTAAACCTCACCAGCAACAACTGTACTAAGTAAGGTAAGATATGCTTTAGGCCTGAAATTATTCACCTTCAGCCTACTTCTGTATGAGGACCTTGGGGCCGCTCTGCTGTTAGTTTTGCAATCTTACATAAATTAACCATTTTAACCTGGTTCTCCATTTGTAAAAAGGGAATTGGCAATAGTTGAGTTCTTCTGGGGATTAAATGACATCAGGTGTATCGATTGTTCAGCAATTAGTATTGCTTTGACCCTGTGGTTCCAAAACGTGCACGCTCATCAGATTCACCTGAGGATCTTTGAAAACATTCCAAAGCCCGGGGCACACCAGACCAGTTAAATCCCAATCTCTGAGGGTGAAACACAGACGCCAGGACACGCTCCCCAGGTGGTTCCAACGTGCAGACAATTTTGAGAGCCACCAGTTTGGGTTATTGATGTGCCACACTAACATTTGCTAATCGATCTGTCTTTACCCGGGGTAGAACCAGGAAGCCTCTAGAGCTTAATAAAATTCAGATAATTGAGGTGCATATGCACCCTACCTCCCATTCTGTGAATCCCAATTTCTTCCAAAAGTTTAATGCCGGAAGGGATGGGATGGAGGCCTGAGCTCTCCTGCAAACTCATTCAAGGCCCTTAAGTATCTGCGATCTTTACATTTGTAGAGCGTGCTGACAGTTCCACCTGTGGCGATAGCTGGGCCTGCCCGGGGGAAGCGCAGGGCGGGCAAGTCGTCCCTCCCGGAGACGCTGGGCCGGGGTGAGGAGCCCGTAGCTGCGCAGCGAGGGCAGAGCGGCAGCCTCAGATGCTGCCGCGGCTGTCGGAAACGTCCCCTGCGGGGTAGCAACACCCGGGCCGGGGCGGCTCAGGGGGGCGCCTTCGTCTTCCGCCCTCTGAGACTCTCTCGGTGGTCTGCTCTTCACTCCGCGACCCCGGCCGAGGGTGGGAGCAGCGTGGGGTCGCATCGGCCCGGGGCTAGTGTGGCCCGCCGCTCAGCCTGCAGCCATGGAATCCGGGCCGCCGGGCAGCTCCAGGCCCACGGAGCCGGGTCCTTGCCTGAGCAGTCAGCAAGGCGCGGACCAAGCGGCTTCCGCCTCACTGCAGAACGCGGCTGCGGCCCAGCCCGGACGCCACTCGCTCGCGGTGGCTGCGGTGTTGCCGGCGGGGGGGTGCGGAGAGAGGATGGGTGTCCCCACCCCGAAGCAATTCTGCCCCATCCTGGAAAGGCCGCTCATCAGCTACACCCTGCAGGCCCTGGAGAGGTAAGTGGCGCCGGGTACGCCCCGCGGTTCCCTGCGGCCGGGCCTCCCGCTCCCCGCCCTGCCGGTGCTCTCGCGCTGGCGTCTTCACCTCAGGGACTGCCGGGCCGCCCTCAGTTATTCAAGCTTGAGCTCTGTTCCCTCCGGCATTTCAGAGATGGGACGCTCTGGCCTTTAACAGACAGGCAAAGCTGCAGCTGCCCCACCGAGCCCTTTACATGCCCAGGCAAATGAGGTGGTGGGGACGGCCCGGCGTGTGGCACGGGATTAGAGAGTGCATGGGTTGGGAATAAGCGACTTGGAGTTCTAACTGTGGCCTGAGGAAGAAGCTGTCGGTATAGTCTCGCTGTCCTGGGCTCTGCATCTGCGCATGCGTGGATTGAGTAGTACGGGCACGCTTAGTTTCCAGGGTGTGTTTTCCTTGTGTGTGTTTTTTTAAATTTACCGAGCACCTTCCATGAGCCCAACTGCGCTAATTACTAGGTGCTGCAGGAGGGGAGAGGAGCAGAACTTAGTAACCTTTCAAGGGTGGATAGGGATGTAAGCCTCAATTCTGGGCGGTGGAGGGAGGGGTCTCTGAAACCATTCCACGAACCACTTACCTAAAATATTCAGTGCCATGAACATTGTGACAACATAGCTCATATATGCAGACATTTCCATGGGACACAGTGGCCATCAGGATCTTTATCTGCTTGGTAATTAGCTATAGGGGATTATAGTCATTTCTACCCTGGACTTTTGTCCCATGGAGAAAACTTTTGCATTAAATTGAATTTTTTGCATCTTCTGAGGCAGCCTAAGATAGGCGGACACTAAACATCTTACTGATACGGTTTGGCAATCCCCATAATCCTGTGTGTCAAGGGAGAGATGAGGTGGAGGTAATTGAATCATGGGACAGGTAGAGATCAGGTGGAGGTAACTGAATCGTGGAGCAGAGATCAGGTGTGGGTAATTGAATCGTGGGGGTGGTTTGCCCAGTGCTGTTCTCTTGATAATGAGGTCTCACAGATGTGGCACTTTTATAAGTTTTTGGTAGTTCCTTCTGTGTTCATTCTCTCTCCTGTTACCTTGTGAAGAAGGTACTTTGCTTTTCCTTCACTTTACACCATGATTGTAAGTTTCCTGTGGCCTCCCCAGCCATGCTGAACTATGAGTAAATTAAATGTTTTTCCTTTATAAATTACTCAATCTTGGGCAGTTCTTTATAGCAGTGTGAAAACGGACTAACATACCCACTTTTAAGGCAAAAGAATGTTTGGAAAGGCCTTGTTAATGGAAAATAAAAAACTGCTTGTCTTCCACTTTTACTTAATAACAGCAGTCATAAAATCCTAATAGCGATAGTAATTCATCAAAATTTCCATTCTGAAACACTTCATGGCTCATTTTTATCACTATTATGTCTGAAGAACTTACGGAACATGATTATACGTTGGGTATATCCTAGTAAGTCCTTGGAAAGCTTCCTTTATAGCAGTGTGTGGGTGGCCATTTGCCAAGGGAAAGCCCTTATCTCCTTCTGTAAAAGATCAACCCTACAGACTATTGTTTTCTTAGGGTATGGTGCCAAAAGTCCTCAGTCACTTCATTAAAAAAGATAATTTATACAAATTCAAATAAGGAAAAGGATATAGAAGTATAAAATGTCTTAGACTACTTTTTTTTTGCTCTGTTGAGAAATTATGCATGCTTTTTACTTATTAAAGAAACTGCAGTTCTCATTGTCCCAAATAAGAAAATTAATTGGGTGTCACCACTGTCAATCATCTAGGTAATTCTGAGAGAATGTCATTTCTTGTTTTTCAAGAGCTGTATGTGATGCTCAAAAGTTTTTTTTCATCAACTTCTATTTTAGATTCAGAGGGTATGTATAGATTTATTACTTGGGTATATCTTGTGATGCTGATGTTTACGGTATGATTGGTCCCATCACCCAGGTAATGAGTGTAATACTGAATAGTTTTTCAAGCTTTGCCCTCTATATAATATTCTCCAATGTCTGTTGTTGACATCTTTATGTTCATGAGTACCCATTGTTGAGATCCATCTTGTGAGAACATGTATTTGGTTTTCTGTTCCTCTGTTAATTTGCTTAGAATAACAGCCTCCAGCTGCCTCCATGTTGCTGCAAAGAACTTGATTTTCTTCTTTTTATGGCTACATAGTGTTCAATATGTACTACATTTTCTTTATCCAGTTCATCATTGATAGGTTCCTAGGTTGATTCCATGTGTTTGCTGTTGTGAATAGCGCTGTGATGAACATGGTGCATGTATCTTTTTGGTAGAAGCATTTGTTTTCTTTTGAATATATATCCACTAATGAGATTGTTGGGTTGAATGGTAGTTCTGAGTTCTTTGAGAGAGCTCCAAACTTCTTTCCACACTGGCTGAACTAATTGACATTCCCACCAGCACTGTGTAAGTGTTCCCCTTTTCTCTGCAACCTTGCTAGCATCTTTTTTTTTTTTTACTTCTTCATAATAGCTATCCTGACTGGTATCTCATTGTGGTTTTGATTTGCATTTCTGACTACTGATGTAGAGAATTTTTTTGTTTGCTGGATACTTCCATGTTGTCTTTTCAGGAGTGTGTGTTCATGTCATTTTGCATTTTTAATGTGGTTATTTGTTTTTTTGCTGGTTCAGTTGTTTAAAGTTCTTTGTAGATTCTGGATATTAGGCCTTTGCTGGATAATGGAAAAACTGTTTACTCTGATAGCATTTTTTTTTTTTTTTTTTTTNCATTGTTTTGGAGATAGGGTCTCACTTTGCCACCCAGGCTGGAGTACAGTGGTGGGATTTCAGGTCACTGTAGCCTTAGCCTCCTTGGCTCAAGTGATCCTCCCACCTCAGGCCCTCAAGTAGGTGGGACTGCAGGCAGGTGCCACCATGCCCAGATAATTTTTTTGTATTTTTTGTAGAAATGGGGGTTAGCCATGTTGGCCAGGCTGGTTAGGCTCTTCTTGAGCTGTTGAGCCTGGGTGATCCACCTATCCTGGCCTCCTAAAGTTCTGGGATTGCAAGTGTGAGCCACTACACCTGGCTGCAGTGCAGAAGCTGTTTAGTTTAATTTGCTCTCAGTTGTCAATTTTTGTTTTTGTTGCAGTTGCTTTTGAAGACTTAGTCACAAATTCTGTCCCAAGACTGATGCCTAGAATGGTGTTTCCTAGGTTTTCGTCTAGGATTCTTACAGTTTGAGGTCTTCCATTTAAATCTTTAATCTATCTCAAGTTAATTTTTGTGTATGGTGAAAGGTGGGGGTCCAGTTTTATTCCTCTGGATATAGATAGCCAGCTCTTCCACCAACATTTATGGAACAGGGAGTTCTGTTTCCATTGCTTATTTTTGTTGACTTTATTTTTGGGTTCTCTGTTCCGTTGGTCTGTGTCTATTGTGTACCAGTACTGTGCTGTTTGGGTTACTGTAGCCTTATAGTAGTTTGAAATTGATGCCCTCAATTTGACTTCAAAATTCGTTTTATATGCCCCTCATAAGTAAGGATTTTCCTTGCCCAAACTTTTGCTATCTCACTAATAGAGGGCTGAGAAGTTGAGAATTTTTTTTTTCTTCTTTCTCACCTAAGAAATTCAAACTACCATTGAAAATAACTCTTATGGGTTGATTTGTCTTTTGGAATTTTGAACCAAAATTTAATTGGGGACTACAAAAGAGAAGGGAGAAACTTGCAAACTTTGGCCCCAAATTCCTAAATCGGGATAGGAAATTGTAAAGCAACATGGCTAGTCTTGCCTCTAGTTAAAGGCTGCTACTTATACATATTTTTGTTTCTACTCTTTCCTTGACCCACCTAAAGGAGCAAAAAATGCATAGCTACAGAAGAGAGAATGAATGAGAGGCAGTGCAGCAGATAAGTACTCATACACTCAGGAGATGAGCGAGTGGTAACCTAATGAGATATAATGTGCCTCGGAAAGCTGAAACATAAGCTGTGAGGTAGAACTGAAGCTCCACCTGAACTTCTTAGGAAGTCAGATGATTAAAGTTATAGGACCTTGGAAAAGTACAGACATCAGAGGCACAGGGTACCCCTGAAGGTGGGGTAGAACACTGAAAAGAGGACACCTGATTGAATACTTCAAGAGGACTAGTAAAACTCTCAGATCTTTAGTAGATACTGAGCCTTATTCTATGGCTGAGAATCAGCACAGCTAATGACTTGAGTTAGGCGCTCTATGGCCTTGGGGGAATTAAGAGACACTACATTTTGATACAATGAGATCCTTAGTGCCTAAGGTAGACAAGTGAAGGAAGTTTTCTGCTTTTCAGACATGCCATACATTAAAAAAGCTATTCTTCTAAAATCAAGTAGTTGGAGGCGACATTGAAAGAAAATCAATTTTGTGAATTCACTGGAACTTCAGATTCCTTTTTCATTTTGTTTTTGACAAAATTGGAAAAGAGTTTCTAGTTTAGCCAAGTCCTACTTTGCACTATTGAAATAGCTTGGAAAACTAATTATCAGATTAAATGATATTCAAAAGTACCTCTGAATTCTCCAGTATCTGAAGCATGTTGGTTAAAGGCTCCGAGAAAATGGAGATTTACAGTTAAGTATTGAAGGTATCAAGATTATGTTGTTTGTGGATATAATTTGTATACTATGATTAAGAATCATGTATATGCATATACATATGTATTAGTATATATGAATGTGTGTATAGGTTAATATACTTCATTCTTAAAGATTATACAGCTGGTAGTCCAGATTTGTGCATATGATATAACTAGGAAGGATCACATATAACAACTCATTTTTATGTTATGCTGGGAACTAGATCCTTTCAGAAGCTGATTAAAAATGTTTCTAGGATTTCAAAAGTTGTTTTGACATTTTAACCGAATTGAAATATAATTATTAAACCCCAGGTTATAAACGAAAGGGAATCTTACTTTTCACCTTTTACTAACAAGGAACTGAGATTAGGGGTAATAATCCCTTAGATAACTATCACTTTGTGACCTGAGATTCTATAAG